CCCCAAAACCCCAAAACCCCAAAACCCCTCAGATTTAAGCAAAGATTGAAATTTTAGTGTTTTGATTGTTATGAGCTGATCAATCTGTTGAAATCTTGCTGGTTTTTATTCCCTCTTCTCTTCATGTAGACAAAAGAGAGCACTCCTAGAGCAATAAGCCCTGCAGCTGAAGTTGAGATAGCAACAATCATTGTAGTTGAGGAGGATTCTGTATATGCACAAGCTTCGTCAAAGTCTCCTTCAATTTCTCTGCTTTTGAGGTAATTCTTGAAACCAGCGTAATCACATCTGCCTTGGTCATCACAGGAATTATTGATGTTGAGAGGTTGATCGTCATAGAGATATTTAGCATAGAAATCTTCATCTTTATCTCCAGCTGTGCCTGCCTTTTTCCAGAGCTCAACGAGGATAGAGGTGGCAAAGAATGGCTGTGTCTCTTGCTTCTGCTCTACGCCTGCTAATAGCGAAGCAATGGTAGAGTCATGAGCACTCATGAATACAAATCTGAGAGGTGAATCTGTGCTGTATATCCTCTGGTCCATCCTTGTATGTACAAAGTTATGAAACTTTGTTGAAGCAAGCCTGGTCATTTCATCTGTCAAAAGAGTGTAGTAGTTGTACCTATCAGCTATTAGCCTATCGACTATTTCCCTTCCAAGATCGAATTCCTAGAGATTTAGGTAGAGATTTACCTTTTTGAGTCGCAAATTGAACATTGCTGAGTAGTAACTATCAGTGTAGGGATCGACAGTTTGGATATTGAAATTATCATTGAGATTCCAGTCTTCCTTCAAGCTTTTAACGACTGTATCCCTGTAGAGCTCAATTCTTTGTTGAAATACTGGGTCCTTCATTACTTCTTCCTTAAGCTTTTTGAAGATTGGGCAAGTGTCTTCGTCCTGACCTTTAAGTATTTTATTAATCTCTTCTCCCATATGAATTGGAACAGGCTGGAAACCCTCTAACAAGGCATCATCTTCAAGCTTGCTCAGAGTTTCTTCAAGGCCAGTGACCTCAAACGGAGGAAGACTTTGAGATCTCTCCTGCCTGGCAAGTTTATCACCTGAGCCGAGGGGATACCAGCCTGTCAGTTCTGAATAAGCGCTCATTATCGTCCTGTCAACATTAGTAGAATAAATCAAAATCTCATTTGGATCAAATGTGTCGCTAAGCAGATGGGCCTGGTGTCTATACCTCTTCTCATGCTTCTTGGCAAGCAAGTAATGCTGCCTCTCCCCTTGTTCTGTGAGATGGCCTAAAGGAGTTTCCCAATAATGGGTGGTAATATTTGGAAAATCAATGTGGTTACAGGTTGCTCTGGCACCATGCCTCGTTACCTGAATAGCAAAATACAGCTGGTCCTGGTTATCTCCATTTATCTCAAATAAGCTTGCCAACTGCATAGCTGCCAGGAAAGCTAGAATCTATAATTTATGAGAAGCTGGCTTACTTTCTTCAGCATTTCAATTATTATATCAAAGATAGGGGTTTTGGGGTTTTGGGGTTTTGGGGTTTTGGGG